TTCAAGTAACTCATAGCTGAATCCAGCTGTTTTCTTTTGGAAACAGCCTTGTGATTCCATTAATTTCTGACTAGATAAGCCAGGTAAAAGGAAGTGGCCCTTCAGGGTCCATTAAGTAATATTTATTATCTGCTTCAAGATACTGAAGTTTCGTTGTTGTCAAGCTAAGATGCCAGTTTCCTGTATAATATTTCTGTAAGTCCTGCTGTGCTGCACAGAAAATGTTTTTTTTTAATCATGAGAAAGGTTATCAAATTTAGTTTTTTGAGATCAAAGTGCTACTAGTTTTTAGTATCTTGAAAGCATGTAGTATGTTATCAAATACATAGATCATTTGGCAGGTCATGGTTTTGTTCCGATTTCTTTGGCTTTTTTTTGTTTGTTGCCAATACTGGTAATGTTATTTCTACTCAATTTCAGAAACAAAAACAGGATTCTGAAGTTGGGGAAAAGCGCAAGCGTTCCTCAACTGAGGATGAAGAAGATGATGCGTTTGAGCATTCTGACAGCAAACAAGAATCTTTGGGGGATGAGGATAGTGATGCAGTTGTCAAAGCAGAAAGTGATAATGAGCAGAGCAAGTCAGATGAAGATGTTGAAGAAGATCATGAGGAACCCAAGCAGAAGCCAAGTGAGAAAAGTGCTTCTAAGAAGAGTGTGAAGAAGGAATCTGGTGGTAATAACAGGGAGAAGTCTAAGGCAGTGAAGAAAGAGAGCCCAGCCAAATCTCCCAAAACCTCTGGTAAAAGTGCCAAAAAAACTGTGAGTTCAGGATCTAAGAAAGTTGCTACTGAATCTGACTCAAAGGAGAAGTCCAAAGTTTCATCTTCTAAGAAACAGAAGGTTGAAAAGGACAGCGAGAAAGTACGTGATGCTTCTGGGAAAGAAAAAGCTACAAGTATTAAGCAGTCAAGCAACTCTTCGACAAAGGGTTCAGGAAAAGATCAAGGTGTGTTGTTTATTGTTTAATATAGTTTGATCCAAAATCTTATTCAAATACTGACAGCATAGTTCAGAGTGTTATTGCCATTCATCATTATCATTTTACTGCATCCATGCATTGCACTGTATGGCTTCGGAATGTTTGAGGATTCTGTCCTTGATTTTGGACTACTAGCGTTTATGCTTGACTACTGGTTAGTATGTTATTGATGTTAGTTCATAAGAGTAATGACCTTATATGAGATTGGTTGTAAAATTCACTCAATTTTTTGAAAGTTCCAAGATGCATGAATTGTGTGGCGTAATTGCATCTGGGCATAGTTGTTGCAAATATTTGCTGCATGATTGTTCACATTTCTGAAAGAACGTCACGTCCATTGGTATGCTGTGAACATGTTATAACTTGCTTTGAGACTTACAGGGAAATCAAAGAGTGACAAGAAGGCTAAGGCAGAACCCAGCAATGAGGAAATGCATAAAGTAGTAGTTGCCATTTTGAAGGAAGTGGATTTTAACACTGTAAGTGGTCTCTGTTGTTCTCTATGGAGCATAATTATTTCTGACAGCGTGGAGTCTATTATTAATCTTTGTACTTGCTTAATTGCAGGCAACCTTATCTGATATTCTCAGGCAACTTGGTATGTTTTTAATGGAATCATATGATTCGTACTCTTTAAGTTACACTTGTGGTTGCTAAGTTGGTTGACTTTATTGCCTTCAGGAACCCACTTTGGAGTGGATCTAATGCACCGAAAGTCTGAAGTTAAGGCTATAATTACTGAGGTTATAAATAACATGACTGACGAGGAAGATGAGGAAGAAGATGAGGAAGCTGAGGCTGGGAGTAATCATGAGAAAGATGAGGATGATGACAATGATGCTTAAATTTAAAATCCAAGCATATGCCGTGGATGAGGAAAGTATCAGTTTGAATTAGTTGTTCAGTATGATGATGAGAAGCGTTGTACAAGGGACTCTTATCAGATGGGGGTGTGCAGCACAACTGCAACTGCGGTATCATTTCCTTCTGTCAAACTTCTTACAGATGAAGGCGGAATAGGTCACCTGTATCATATAACATTTAACTGTGTGTCTGTACTTTGGATGAAATCTCACCATTAGGGATTTTTTACATTCTAATCCCCTTCCTATCTTTAGCTTATAGCTTGAGCATGAAATTGATGTAGTTGTATTTATTTGATGTTAAACTCTGTAAAACACCTAGGAAATTTTCCAGAAGTGGGTTCACAGTGGACTTAGATTTGTAATTTTTATACTGTTCTTTGACACATAGATGAGACATTTTACAGTGAGAAGGGTGGATTTGAAAGGACGGTCTTTTACTCATCTTCAATGTCTTGAGTTTTCATTTTGATATTGATGCGCTGCAAGCCATTAAGCCTGTAATTTGTGCAACTCTCTTTACTTTTGCTTGTAGTAGTAATTTTGGTTTTTCAGTTATTAACAAGATGCTTGCTCCTGGATGCATTCTTCTTGCTTGCTTTGGAAATAGCGTCGTTGTCAAGTTGCTATCCTATTTCTAGTTTACTTAGTGGAATCATTGTAAAAATAGAATAAACTACATTCCTCCACAATTAAAAAAAAAAAGTACAGTAAATTTTCGGATATGATTGTGTTAAGCAAGTACCTAAATCCTTCGAGTAGGTAAAATAACCGTGCTATAGCTTGATAAAACAAACAAAAAAAAATTAATTAAATAACCTTGCTGTAATGTAAAAGAGAAAAAAAAAAGGGTTGTAAAATCAAATGTAAACAATATCTAAAGCACAAGTTGAAATGACACCTTTTGTGTTCCTAAAAATTTCCTCTATAGATAATTGTATATATTAATCTAGCAATTGCACAGGAACACACATGATTCCATTAAGTAAACGCAGACTACTCGTAGTTAAAGGAAAAGAATATCAAATCCATCTGATGAAATCCATCTCTCATAAGTGGGATTTTACCATCTATCATAGGTGGTTGGCGTTAAAAATCATTTCATCAATGTCTGTTAATTCCAAATTGATGAGTATGATATCTATCCGATGCATAGATCATCTGTCTTACTTGTTATCTGATAACTATGATAGTTTTGTTCTTAATTAGTTCTTCTTGATAAGAGAATAAAAGGGATTTCTGTCTCTGGTGGGTTTTGGCTGCATTTTAACGTCATAGTGGGTGTGTTCTGATCATATGTATATCCTTGACCTGACGTTTCCACTGGTGCTGCTGTCCTTGATTCCTTGCACAGCATGTATGGTTTAAGTTTATCTTAAAAATGTTGGATGGTTCTGTAAAAATGTTTGGATTGATATTTTCTGCAGCTTTGTAGAAAAATATATTGTAACGATTTGATATATGTGAGATCAAATGTGATTTAGAAACGTGTTTGTGGAAAACATAAAAATTTTTTGGTAGAAAAATCCAATCGAAACACTAATCGAATGACAAATTTATTGCAATCTGAAAATTGTCTTTTCTGCATAATATATAGTCTCAGATAAGGTCGAAATGTTGAATTCAGAAGTGAGAATATGCGTCAGAATCTGATATATCACCATTTGGGACTATTTCTCACAATCATAGCTATCAACAGGAAAGCAAGGGAAGAAGCAAAATTGTCTTGTCTGCATAATATAGTCTCAGATAAAGTCTAAATGTTGTTGAATTCAGAAGTGAGAATATGCGTCAGAATCTGAGATCACAATTTGGGACTATTTCTCCCAATTATAGCTATCAATAGGGAAAAAAAAAAAAGAGGGAAGAAAGAGGAAGAGGAAGAGGAAGAAGACGAAGAAGAGAAGAAGAAAGCCAATCCAATAGCACTGGATTTTTGCCCTGAAATATTGCTCAGATATTGACTAATTTCGTGATTATTACTCAAAACATAGCTTTGGCATAATTAGGAATTATTTTTTGGCAGTGCTACTAAGCTAATGTAAGTGAGCAAAAAGTCTTTTATTTCGCCCTAATTTCAAGCAATAAATAAAAATTTGAAAGTAAATTTTTTTGTCCCTCAACGTTACCAAATTTGCAATGATAAACCCCAAAAAAAATTTTTTTTTTTTTTTTTGCAATAATGAACAAAAACCTTGTGATTAAGTTAGGTAAGTGCAGTCGTTCTGGATGAGGGTAGGGTGTGCACCAACTAAACCAAACTCATATATCAAGTTCTTAAGTTTGCTATTCTGTTCTAATCTAAGATTTAAAAGTTTTTGTTTGAGTTTGTTAGGCTACAATATCAACGCACAGGAGATATATGGGTTTTTTTTTTTTACTTTCAGCTATGGCTTTCAAATCATTATTATTATTGTTCTTACATAATCTATCTTTTTCAGAATTTCCATATAGCAACTTGCTCAATCTAATTGTCAACTTATCAGAGATTAAAAGATCAAAAAGGGCTGTGCTTACACACCATTAACTAACTAATCATCCTAACAGAAAGTTAGAGGTAAACCCATGCAGAACTGTGGTCTTCTTTTCCTCTTTTCAATACATACATAAGAAAATAAAAAATTCCTCTAATTTAGGTCATACGTGAAAAGAAGATATATGTAACTTAGCATGAAATGTATTGAGAAAGATGAGGAAGAGAGTGAGATGAAAGAAGAAAAAAGAAAAGGACTTGTAATGGAGAGGAAGAGATTTTAGGAGAAAATAAGGAAAAGGGAAAATAATAAAAATCCCAACATTAGCTAATAATGCCTTGATGCTGTAACATGTTCTCCTTGGCTGTTTTCAACAGAGCATAACCCTCAAGAAACCCAAAACACTTTTTGATCCTTGAGTAATGTAGGGGTGAATTGCCATCAATCCAGGCCAAAAAAGTGCCAACTTAATTACAAAACCATAATGTTGTGGAGATTTGATCATAATCTGCTTTTCTTGTTGTTATGCTATATTATAAGTGAAGTGACTAGGAATAAAGTGATTATCTGGGGTAGCGTGGCATTTTGCTGCATCAAATTTTAGATGCATCAAGTAATCAAAATTTGGACGCCAACCCTACCAACCAACCCCACAGGATCTTCTCTACTACGCCATGTTCTCTTGACTGTTACTAAAATTTTGTTCCATGGCTAGTAGCCTAACCATACCAATATGAGTATATAGAATTTGTCCTCACCAAATGACCAAAACAAAATTTACTAAAATCAAAAGTACAATGGGATTACGTACATAAGAATTAATAGGCAATGTTAACACCCCCCCCCCCCAAAAGATATATATTAGTCTAATATCTTCTTTCTCTAGAAGTCTACAAGAAGAATCTTAGCAATTAAATTTGCCAATCATAAAGTACTAGTCATTTTCATTGGACCATCTTTGTTAACCAAAACTTAACAATCTTCAAATTTTGCAAGCAATTGTCTTCCTATATATTCCTTGAATCCCTTTCCCCAAAACATGATATTCTCAGTTTAGCACAGCCAACAGATAGAAAAGCTCTCTTTACTAGTGAGTGCTTATTGAAGGTAAAATATCTGAACATGTTTTTTTCTCGACCGTCTTTACTAGTTTTAAACAAGTCATGAGATTTTATCTCCACTGATGCAATTTGCATGAATGAAACACTCGAAACACACAAATTTCATCTCTTTGAATTTCACTAACATGGTGTTTTGACTCAGGATTGTGTCATTTGAACAATTTTAGCAATGGAGAATGGTAAGAGCAACACATTTGAGCTCACCGTCAAGCAGGGACAACCGACTTTGATCCCTCCAGCTGAAGAAACACAGAAGGGCCTGTATTTCCTCTCAAATCTTGATCAGAACATTGCGGTGATTGTTCGTACAATTTACTGCTTTAAATCAGGGGAAAAGGGCAATGAGGAAGCTGTAAGGATGATCAAGGATGCTTTATCAAAGGTTCTTGTTCAGTACCACCCTCTTGCAGGGCGTTTAACCATTAGTCCTGAGGGAAAGCTGATAGTGGATTGTACCGGAGAAGGGGCTGTCTTTGTTGAGGCTGAAGCAGATTGCACCATTGAAGACATCGGCGACAACACAAAGCCTGATCCTGTTACTCTCGGAAAGCTGGTTTATGATGTTCCAGGGGCGAAAAACGTACTGGAGATTCCTCCTTTGGCTGCTCAGGTTACAACATGTCTTTAACTTCTATTTCGAGTATTAGCTCCAGCAAACTTACATCTTTGAATAACTAAAATATAAGCAAATCTCTGTGGTTAAAGAAAAAGGCCGCGAATAAAAAAAGAGGAAAAGATTTTGATTCAGGAATTAGGCTTTTGCAATGTCACATGTATATTACATGATCAAGAAAAGAAGTGGAGCATCTGAATTTACATTTTATCCTTGAAAGTTCGGTAGAGCTTTCATAACAGAAATTATTGCAATAGTGCAATCTTACGTGGTATGGCTTGCCCTGCTGTTTATTGTTCCTTTACCCTGGAAATTTAAGGTCTTTGAGTGATAACTGATTTTGCTCTACAGGTGACTAAGTTCAAGTGTGGAGGATTTGTTCTTGGGCTGTGCATGAACCACTGCATGTTTGATGGGATTGGTGCAATGGAATTTGTCAACTCCTGGGGTGAAGTTGCCAGAGGACTGCCTTTAAAAGTGCCTCCATTTATGGACAGAACCATACTCAAAGCCCGAAATCCTCCCAAGATAGAATTTCCCCATCATGAATTCGCTGAAATTGATGACACATCAAATACTGCTGAACTATACAAGGAGGAAATGCACTACAGGTCATTCTGTTTTGACCCAGAAAAACTCGAAAAGCTCAAAAGGAAAGCTTTGGAAGATGGAGCTCTGGCCAAATGCACCACATTTGAAGCCCTGTCAGCATTCATATGGCGATCTCGTAGCCAGGCCCTGAAGATGAAGCCTGATCAAAAGACAAAACTTCTCTTTGCAGTTGATGGAAGATCAAGATTTGATCCCCCAATTCCAGAAGGCTACTTTGGCAATGGAATTGTGCTTACAAATTCATTTTGCAGCGCGGGTGAGCTAGTCGGGAATCCACTTTCATTTGCAGTGAAGCTAGTCCAAGAATCAGTCCAAATTGTCACAGACAGTTATATGAGATCTGCTATAGACTACTTCGAAGCAACTAGAGTAAGGCCTTCTTTGACTGCAACGCTTCTCATCACAACCTGGTCTAGGCTATCTTTCCATACTACTGATTTTGGATGGGGGGAACCTGTTTTATCAGGGCCTGTAGCCCTTCCAGAGAAGGAAGTAAGCCTGTTTCTGTCTCATGGAAGAGAAAGGAAAAGCATCAATGTGCTTCTGGGGTTGCCAGCTGCTGCAATGAAAACGTTTGAAGAGCTCATGCAGATCTAAAGCTCAGAGCCTTTTGTTACTGAATCTTTCATCCTGCATTTTATTCTACCTATTGTCATTATTTATGTTCTGTATTTGTTTCCACAACACTTACATTTCCTGATCCAGGAATGTATTCCAAGCTATGTTTCTGGCTAAAAAAGATTATGTAAGATTGTCGTTCCTGATTTTGTACCAATACCAACAGTTGAACAAGTGCAATTATTGTTCATATTTCTTTCTAATGTTTGATCAATGTTGATTGATCACATAGATTACTGTGCATATGGAGGGGCAGAGCCAGGCTACTGAGGCAGACAAATTGCCCCCCAACCCCCTCAAATTTTCATAATTTTTCAACCCTTAATTAAATTATGGGAAAAATTTCCCTTTACTCTCTTTCTAAAAATATAAAATTTTCCACCATCGTATTTGAAAAAGTAATAAATACCACTTGAACGGACAAGGATTCAAAATTTTAGAACAACAACTGCATTATACTAATTTTCTTCTGTGAACCAATAATTGAATTGAAACGTAAACTACATGTTATTGATCCAAGTGACTATTGACCCCTTACTCATGGAGCTTTAACACCGCTACTGTGTATATCCCTTTAACCCCTGAGAATTCAATGCAAAATGATCTCTACATGAATGCTCAAAACTATGAATAAATTTTCTCATGTTCTTCCCAAAGCAAGTATTGAGAAGAGCTAGCAACGTCTGCAAAAATTGGGAATAGAATAGTACAGGGTTAGTAATGATTTTTGATTGAGACAATTGTAACTATGAGTTTTTAATGCCTGTCCCAATCTCACAGAAGTAATCATTGGCATGGATTAATGAATGCGACTATCACTCTATGCTAAATCTCCCTTGTACCAAACAAATAAACAAAATACAAAATTCAATGTAAGGTTGTGTTAGACCAGAACAAAAAAAAAAAAAACAAACAAACAAAAAAGGCACAGTTCACAAACACAAAGGCTGCAAAGCGATGTTGATGAAAACTTTAGGGGTGAAACACAAAAACCCTTGAATAGTTTCATTTAGCCAGTTTGAGGGTAATAGCAATTTGAATCGCAATTTAGTCTCCACACATTAGTCCTTATGCGTTTTACTGGACTTTCGAATCTTCTTCTAGGAATGTACATTATTAGTACACATGAGAAAGAAAAGGGCAGATAATGAAGTTTGTATAGCTCATTATTTTCTAAAAAGAGTAAATAAAATGCTAAAATTGTTTTTATTGATGCCAGTTTAACCACTTCAGTTGTCATTTGAAAGGATTATAAGCATTTAATTAAATCGGTTTACTTGGAGGTGCATTAATTTCATGCATATATACTCTCAAATTTTAGCACTTGTCACACTTTGCATCCTTAATTCCGATTTCTTAAAAAGTCCCCATTACATTGCTGCTGCGGCTTGAGCTTGTAATGTGCAATCTTTGACTACAAATTACCCTTTTTCTGTTCTATGTCTGTAATAATTGGAACATCCTATCGAAATTTAGACTAATTTGTTTCATATGCAATTGCTAAATTATCCCATTTTTGAGACGTGTAGAACATGTATGTGAGTTAGCAAAGCGAAGTTACCCCCAATAATAGATTGCATGGGAAGTTCTTGTCATTTTTCTTTCCTTTTTTTTTTTTTTTTTTAATCAGCAAGAGACTCCAAACTTTACAAAAGCGAAGTGAGAAAGGAAGCCCGGACAATCGAACCACAGACATCATGATCTACTAGCTAAATTGGGTTTTGAGACAAGTCCTTGCCATTTTACACAGGAGTGAAATGGCTTATAGCTAGTTTGGGAGTTTAGAATAGAAAAGAAAAGAAGAGAAAGGGTTAGTTAGAAAAGAAAAGAAAGGGTGGGAAAGGATTTAAGTTTCTATCTAAGTTGTTTGGGAGTTTTAAAAAAGAAAAGAAGGTAAGTGGTTTTCTTTTGTTTGGGAGTTGAAAACAGATGAAAAGAAAAGATGCTCAAATAGGTTATTTTACAAAATTGCCCTTTTTGAAAATAAATGTGAATCAAGTAAGCTGAGAGACTCATCCGGAATTAAAAATTTTTGTATCATGATTTTGAGGGTAATATTGTCATATTGAAAATTTCATTTAAAGCACAGTCCCTTCCTTCCTTTTCCGCCCAACTTTGGGCGGAAAGTTTTCCAATACACAGAGAGAAGTGAAGGAAGTCCAAATCCTTTCTTTTCCTTCTCTTTTTGGCTCTCAAACGATGGAAAGAATTTATTATCCTTTCAAACCCTTTCTTTTCTATCCATTTCCTTCCTCCCAAACTAGCTATTAGTAATTTTGTCAGGTATGGAATCCTTTAGTCATTTGCGAGACAATATATAGGCTACTTATATTTCCTCACTTCTCAGATCTCGCTGGACTTGCTATGTTTCCCTTTCGTCCATACTTACAGCACTTAAAAGGCCATGTTATATAATGGCTAGACAGGATGCTTTTGGCAAAAGCAGCACGAATTTCCTTCCTCTTACATTAACTGATATGAAAGTGATTCCTAGCATGAGAGATCATATCCATTTAAGTCACCTGAAAACATTTATCAACGGCCGATTGGTCAAAATGTTTTTTTTTTTTTTGAAGGATTGGTCAAAATGTTTTAAAAAAAACTTGAGTTGAAACTAAGTATTTTTATTCCGTACTAGGAATTAAGTAATGCTGGGCTACTATATCAAAGGTTAGTAACTGGATACAATCGGTCAAGGTAGATTATAGGGCTGTTCATGACATGATTTAGCAAAATTATATCATCTGGTATTCAAAGAATACATGAGGTCTATGATAATTCTTGATACCATATTTAATCAAATCTGCTTTTCTAACTGGTCAAAAAACTCTTAGACAAAGCAATAATTAGAATCTATACATTTGTTCGATTCAGAAGTGATTCATCTTCAGCAATCGGGGTGGAGTGAGAACTGAGAAGTCCATATGGACTATAAACTCTAGAGATGGTGCCGTCTGGAAGACGCCGTGCCGGAGCGAAAGGACTGCAGGAGCCACATGGAAATCCACCACCAGCTGATGAATCAGAATCATCAACCATGGCCTCCTTGCCACAATCCATCTCAGCTAAGACTTTGTAAAAAAGATCAACATCACATGGAAGCAAAAGAGGGCCTTCATTGCTATACCCATACTCCAATTCAGCATCTTCAAGCAGCATCTTGAACAATGGATGATTAGCACATTCTGCCTTGATCACAAACCTTTGTTTCTCAGGACCAACATACACTGAAAAACAACCTTTAGGAGCAACTTTATACCTTGTTCTGTACTCATCATGATTTTGTTGAGATTTTTCAGCTGCCCCAGTACAATGCCATGATTTACTCTTCGACAAAGAAATGATAGTAGCACCCTCCATTCTTGAAGGTATTGCCCGAATGCTTTGAAGTGATAAAGAAACCACCAATTTCTTGATCATTGAATTGTTCTTCCATTTGCTCTTTCCAGTGTCCATTATTTGTCCGTCCAACAGCTACAGGCAAAAGCAATAGATACAAATCACGAAAATAACAAAATGCTAGTACTATTATATCGTCATACTTACAATACTCGAGTTCTTTGGCTTTGCTTCAACAAATTCTTGTATATAATTTCTCTACCTTGACTGTCATAAGGGATGAAATTGATGAGGTGCAGTTGTTAAGTTGCTAACTGGGGCAATTTGTAAATAGAATAGGCAACTACGTGGTATGGTTTCCGCACCAAATATAAATACTAGTGAACCAAACTATACAACGTCCAATGTCAACCAACTCATGGACCTAGGACAGCCTTGATGTAGCGGGCAGATATCTAATCGAATGTGAATAAAAAAGGGGCAAATTACACTTTACCCATCTGTTTGAACATAATCCCCCGATAGTTTTAAAAGCTATATATAATCCCTTATGGTTTGAATTAAAGTGTCAAATTGATAGAAATGATTATTCATAATGGAACCTATGAAAATGTCAATATTACTCTTATTTAAAAATTAATGCGGTTGGAGTGACCAAAATATATAAATATAATATGCATGGCACTCTAACCCATATGGTTTTATATTTTACTATATAACCCCCTTATGGTTTAGTGCTTTACCATATAACTCCCTTATGGTTTTCAATATAATGATATATATATATATATAACCCCCATGTGGTTAATAAATAATTTTTAACTTTATATAGGGGTATTTTTGACATTTTAGTCGACTCCATTATGGATTGCAAATTCCGTTACTTTGACATTTTAGTCCAAATTATGAGGGAGATATGTATAATTTTTGAAACTATGGGGAGGTTATGTAAATAAACACTAAATAACAGGGGGTAAAGTGTAATTTGTCCATAAAAAAAATTGAGCCCTTTTTCTTGACTCTATTATTCTTGTTGTGCAAGAGAGAAATCCATCAAGAAATTAGTTGTTTGAGACAATAATCTCGAACCACCAATTGACTTGGGAAAAGATTAGTCTAAATAATTAAGTTGCGTGATTTGTTTTTCTTGTACTCTTTAAAAGGTACACATTGTTGTTGATGGGACTGATAATCATCCTGAATAATTAATGAAGAAGAGCTTAGCACTTTTTGTCTATTTTGAAAGCCAAAAAAGGTTATATATAGCCAAATCATGTAAGGCTGTCAACCGTTTAAAACATGAATCGTGAATGTGGTGAATGGTCCTCCTGTATCCAGACGATTGACCTTAATTCCGATCAACTAATGGTCAATACAAGCAATAAATATGCGTGCATTAGAAGCAATACAATGCCTTCAGATAACAAGGCTAATTTTATGGCACCTGGTTCAGGTTTTATTGCACTCTTAGGTACCCATGTCCACGATGTTCAATCATCAGCATTGGTGCCTTTGACCTTTGACAAGGGCTTTTGCCTTGCATATCATACAGGGTAAACCTGCAGCTGGAAGCATTAATTGTCACCAAAACTCTGAGAATTAGTTGAAACGCATTAAAAAGAAAATGCTAACTGGTTATTTATTTTCAGCTGCAGGTTAGTTACTGGCACTAAATACTTGCATTAACTGAGAGTTGTAAAAGAGGAACGCATTAAAAGTTGTGAACAAGAAATAGTGATATGAGTCTGCTTAATTAACACTAGGATGTAATGTTTGTGTTCTGTCTATAACATCATTTTCTTTATTGAATTTGTGTTAGATAGTTAGTTGGACTGCATGTTAAATTTTTTTTTCCAAATGTAAGATTTTCTCACAAAGGTTATGGGTGAATAATTCACAATATTATTCGTCTTTTGCTACTTATTTATTTTACGTTATAATTACAGCTGATCAATAGACTATAATTTCTTGGTTCTGTTCGTAACAATCTTCATTCGATTTGTGAGATAATTAGTTTGCATTTATTCTTATAATAAACAAGATTTCTTCAAAATTGCTGGTATTTGTACTATATATCTTCGCTGCTTTGCTACTTTTTTTTTAAACAAAAAATTTATTAAATGGAAAAGAGATGTTTTATGTTGTTCACATAAAGCTTTCTTGAATTGCTGATAAAAATGTTTCAATAATATAATCCAATAAACCTTGAATTGCTGATATATATTAAAGCTGTGATGTTACATATAGGCCCTCATTCAGACACATTAACATGGATAAATTAGTGAGGAGAAGAAGGGCTGTCCGGTACATAGCAATAGCAGAGGCATTTTCCAAAGCGTATCTTGAAACAATTGGCTGTGGAGTTTGGATACAGTCTGCTGCAATCTCTAATACAGACTACTTTATTTGATCTCTTTCCCAGAATCACTCTTCTAGTTTTCGAATCCCCAAAACCTCCTGCATTTGGCACTTCGGCTGCAAAAAGTGTGAGAAAGATTTTAGGTTAGTATGGCTAAATATATGCTAATTCACAGAATAACAACTATTCGTTCTTTTTCACTATGGTGCATATTTTTCTTATCATAACAAGGATTGAGAGGGTAGAGTGAAAAGAAAAAGTACCCAAATTGATGACAAAGAGAAGGGAGAGAATGCAACAGAAGATGAGAATTTTTGACATTTTGGAGGAAAGATGGGTGCAAATACGAGTGTTGGCTGCTCAAACTTGTTCTTGTATATCCTTTATACAGGCCAAGTAGTGGTGGTGTGTTTCATTTAATGATCTTTTCCACAAAACAAAAAATGGAAATGAGATCTTTAGGCGTCTCTTAGAATTCATTAATTGGACACTTATTGCATTAATCTGTTCTCTGTTAAAATTTGGGATAACTCATACAGTTTGTTAGGCTTTTCACAATATGCATTAATTATGGGTCAACCAAATGTACTAGGGGTGTAATTGTAAATGAACTGAGAACTTGCAAGCTTCTTCGTTAGAGATCAGCTTGACCCCGGTGATGATTGAATTTTAAACTTTAAAGCTTGAGCTCAAACAATTAATGCTATGTGAAACTTGAAAGTTATTAGAGTTTAATCACAAAGTTTATGAGTTATTAGGATTGGCATCAGTTGAAAGATTCCTGATTAGGTCAGACCCAATCCACCGAGCCAACAAGACATGAGGAGTTGGGCCGGATTGAAACGAAGATTTTGTTAATCATAGGTACTAATCTATGCCAAAAAAAATTTAAAAAGGGTAATGTTATTTGCACGCTTACCATCTCATTTTTATTTTAACGAGACCACATTACCCCCTCTCTAATTTCATCTTCTTGCCTATGAGTTAACTTTTCTAGATTTTCTCTTACATTCTAAAACAAATTAATTATTCCATTACACATTAAAATGACTAATTTAAAATTGTCACTTATATGTATTATGTATTTTTCTACAAAATTTCACGAAATTATAAGATGCCAAAGATCAATCTAACAATGTAATATGAATAGATTCTAAACTTCAAGCCCAAAATAAATAAATAAATAAATAAATAAAATCTCAAGCATCAAAGATAGGGGTGGCAATCGGGTCGGATCGTGGGTTGACGGGTCGGATTGAGACTGAGGTATTCTTACCAAGACGTCCACCCAAATCCGACCCGAAAATTTAAATGGGTCAACTTTTTTGACCACATGACTCGTTAGTTTGTGGGTTATCCGAAGTTGACTTGCATAACCTATTTGTTTAATATTTTTTTTAACCTTCTCAATTTGGTAGTATGGTGGATTTTTTTTTATAATGGAGTTTCCATAAGAATATATAAAATTACAACCCAATCTCGTTGTAATTTTTTATTTTTCTTTTTCTACAAAAAAAATATGAACAAAAACAAAATTATGACACTTTCACAAATAAAATACCTTATTTTCACATAATATTCATGATTCCATTCTTATAATACTAATTTATAGCCTTAGTTAGTTTTTTTATTTACTTTATGCCTCTAATTTATTAATTAGATTATAAAATTATATATTAAACAGGTCAAATAGGTCAACCAGTGAGTTGACCTGAATTGGACCTATTTACTTAGCGGGTCATTCGGATTTGATTTGAATTTGACCCGAATTCATGATGAGTATTAGGTTCGAATCATATTTTCGAGTCGTGTCAAGAATTGTCACCCCTAATCAAAGATGAGCAAAACTTGAATGTAACTATAATGTCTCATAAATAGGATATTAATACTTCGAAAAACCTACTAAGAATAGCTCATATAACCACCATAGAAGGAATGAACATTTCTAGTATATTCCAACAAAAGCATAATAGCATCTAGTCACTAGATGATGCAATGAAACCTCAATTGTGCTCATAAAAAATCTGTAAAATTGAAATTAAAATAAAAATATGAAATAAAATTAAACAAATAGTTATGTAGATGTAGAAAAAAAAGAAGCAAAAGTTAATTTTTTTTTTTTTTTACCTTTTGGACACGTACAACAATTGTACTGAACTTCCTTACATGTGAACACAAGATATGGTAGGAAAAGAAATTAAAATAGTAGTAATATAGTCTCGTCAAGATGAAAATGGGATAGCGGAAGTGCAGATAACATAATGGGGTGTAAATAACATTATCCAAAAAAAAAATGGAATAGAAAAAATTTACTGGAGGTATAATTAGCCTGCTCAACTATCTGTAATGTTTTGTATCGTGTCTAACGAAATTTATACTAAGATATATTATTCTCATTAGTCATGTCAATGGGTAGAATCTGGATTGTATTCCTTTGATCTATATCTAAATCCATTAAATTTAGTTAAATTTGATCCAAATCCAGATCCTTATGGGTTTGAAAAAATAAGTCCATTAAACTCATTAGGTATATCAATGGGTAGGGCTCAGATTACATCCCTTTGATCTAGATTCAGACCCATTAAATTTAGTTAAACTTAGATCTAGATCCAAACCCTTATGGGTCTGAAAAAATAAGTCCAAATCTAGACTCTTATGGATTTGGATACCCAATGGGTATTCGCTATATTTTCCTAAATATACTAAAGTAAAAATATATAGATTTTAAAAAATATAAACACCATCCAATTTTTATTTTTAAATAATAAAATTAATATTCAAGAAGTTGGATGCAATATTATGTACTCAAAAAATAATTATTATTAACTACTTCGGTTTATTTTTTAAATTTCAATTATATCTAAGTCCAATCTTTCATTTATTTGCCTTTACTTTGACTCCTTTTTATAAAAAAGTTTGTACTAATTACAATGATAACTAGGATTTGTTTGAAAAAAAGAAAATAATCATGAAATCTTATTGTATTCGATCCAATGGCCATAAAATATTAGAATATTTTATAAATTTACTAATATATATATACATAATTTAATTATATATACATGGGTTTAGATTGGGCCTGGTATGTATTTGGATTTGGATATGAATCACACAAAATCAGACTTTACCCAGATCCATAACTTTTTTACAGTCTGGGTTTAGATAGGATCTGTATTTAAGAAATTAAATTCAAACTCTATCCAAGTACATTAGATCTGGGTTGCATCTGGAAAAGATCCTATCAATTGACATACCTAATTCTCATGTATAAGCCTTCTAGTTTGATTCTTGATTAACCTAAATCTAAAGGCTTTATAGCTCATCAAATTGAAATGCAAGGATGTTGCAACTTTTCCAACCGTGGAAGTACAAGAGCCGGCTTGTTTTTCTAGTGGCATTTAGCTATCTTGGAAGGCTTCAAAGAGTGGCATTTGGCTATTTTATTCCAAAATCCATCATCAACTTAATCTTGGGACTCTATTCAACAAGTAATCTTGGAAGTCAGTCAATATTACTTGAAGGTGATTTAATCTTGTTTGGTGAACCGTCAATCTCGTAAACAAAGATTATGAGACATACTGTATCTCTTTTTTTCTACCATTTTTGTCAGAAATACACAAACGGTTACCTAAGATAACTCCACAAGGATATCCAAAAGGCAATTACTGACTTCTGAGTATACTTGAGGACCTTAAGTACCACTCACATCTCTCCTCTCTGGTGGTTTTTTTCTACCATTTTTGTCAAAAATACACAAACGATAACTCCACAAGGATATATACTTGAGGACCTTGAGGACCTTAAGTACCACTCACATCTCTCCTCTCTGGTGGTTTTTTTCTACCATTTTTGTCAAAAATACACAAACGGTTACCTAAGGTAACTCCACAAGGATACCCAAAAGGTAATTGCTGACTTCTGAGTATACTTGAGCACCTTAAGTACCACTCACACACACCTAACACGAACGATGTGGGAACCAGGGAAAGGGCAAACATATATGGAGATTTTCTATGGTACATCAGCCCAGAAAATTAATTTGGAAAATTCTAAGTTGTATGCCTCACCCTAATATTAGTAGATCCACTGCCAGAAAGTTTAGTCGATGCACTCAATTTCCCTTGATGAATAAAATATTGGGCGTTATTTGGGAGTTCCAATCATTCAAGGCAGAATCACTAAGTCGACTTATACATGTATTATGCACTTCTGATGACAAAGTGAGGAGCAAAGTATCTAATTAAAAAGAGAAAAATCTTTTCTGGTTTTCTTTGTGAAAACCAAAATCCCAAAAGTTTGAGTGAGATTATGAATTTGGCGATATTAGTCAAACTTTATATGACTAAATGAAGCTTTTTTGACAATTATCTCAATTCATAATCCAGTTAAAAATTTCAGACAAGAAGAGAGATACTGGATGTCTATTTTCCTGAGAACATATCTTCCTCGAAAACACTTCAAAATAGCCCTAGTTTGGACACATGCACGCAGATAAGGTGTTAATCAACACTTGAGTAATAAATTTTCACGGCATTCAACCCTTCATGTTTCATTTTGTCACATCCCATACTTATTGAGAAAGCCTAAAATAAGACATTATTCCTACACCTACACGGCAGAATAACTTAGAAAAGGCAATGAGAAGTACTAATTGATGTTCAGCAATCTGGGTGGAGTGAGAAGTTCGTATGGACTATAACATTTAGACATGGTGCCATTTCGGAGACCCCGTGCCGGACTAAAAGGACTGCAGGAGCCATACGCAAATCCACCACCAGCTGATGAATCAGAATCATCAACCATGGCCTCTTTCCCGCTATCCATCTCAGCCAAAACCTTGTCAAAAAAGATCAATATCACATGGAAGCAAAAGAGGGCCTTCATTGCTCTATGCATATCCCAATTCAGCATCTTCAACAGTGGATAACAAATCTTTGTTTCGCAGGGCCAACATATACCATTTGAATATACACTGAAAAACAACCTTTAGGGGCAATCTTATACCTTGTTTTGTACTCAGCATGATTTTGCTGGGATTTTTCAGCTGATCCAGCACAATGCCATGATTTACTCTTCGACGAAAAAATGGTTGTAGCACCCTCCATTCTTGAAGATTTTGGAGGAATGCTTTCAAAAGATAAAGAAACCACTAATTTCTTGATCGTTGAATAGTTCTTCCATTTGCTCTTTCCACTATCCATAAGCCAAGGCAAAAAATTGTCAAGTTGTCAGGCCATACAAAATTACAAAAACCACCAATCATGAAAATCACAAAGTACTAGTACTACTATATACTTGCAATACTGGAGCACTTTGGCTTCGCTTTGGCAAATTCTAGTTAGTTATTTTTCTATTTCTGCTGTCATTTA